AGTTATTATAGAAGTTTTGTTTGAAATCGTTTACGCATTAAAAAACAGTCATTACTGTTAAATATAAGTAATATCAGTTATTTTTCGACTACTCTTAAAATACCTATAAGGCTACTTATTCTGTGCTGTACTTTGCTTATATATCATGAAACATTGCAATATAATATCAAGCAGTTTAAATACTAAGCTATGTCTAAACGAAATGTTTGCGAAAATCAAGTAGATAATTAAGCTTTCAGAAGTGGCTCTGTTTGTAATTAGATTTCCGTTATCGTCTTTGAAGCGCAGAAAATTGCAGAACTGTTTTGCGGTTTATATTAAAAGGTGCTCTCATAGACATCCATATCGAGTTTTATTGATTCCATAATTCCATTGGATACAGACTCATCAGCCATCAGTCGTTTAGCATCGCCGTCTTGTATCTACCTACTCCACTACAAAGTTGTTAGGTAACCTATTGATATTAAATATTTATAAACAACCTTTTTATGGTTTGTGAAAAGAAAATTGTTTTCTTTATTCTAAAATTGACACTTAATTTACTGTATCAAATGTATGCACATGTGAATATTATCTATGTATTGACGCTATGGCGTCAATACGTAGAAATTCACATTTGTACTTGTCATATTTTTAATGTTTTAAATATTATTACTTGTCTATTTACTTAAATAGCCGTGGAACACAATTAATTATGCTATGGTAATTTAGTTAATTATGTTATCAAATTATAGGTAAGCTTTTTAAACATAGTAAGTTTTTTGTGCAATTAAGTATATTTTAATAAAAAGATGTCCATACATATTTGTAAGACAGCTTTATTGGCAATTAAAGACCCGTATACATTAAGTACAGAACCGTGGCCATCGTGTTTCACAAGACATGTGTACGGTTCCTAGAACAACGGGCGGTCACGTGCAGAACATCTTTTGGTTAAAAAAAATGTGGCGAGCCCTTGAGTAACCGTCGTTTTAGTGTGGCAACGTCGGATGTTGATTTGTTTAAGTCAATTTCCTTGTGAATGGTGTGTGCTTCGGTATTCTGATACTTGCCTTTTTCTTTGGTATGACTATACTATGAAGATGTCTGCTGGATAGGTTAGGATTGTTTGAGAACAACGAAACTTAATTTAACTGTAATGTGGACTATAAGCCTTTTTTTTGTTGAAAGTCAGCTATGTATAATATATTTTCGTTATTTTCAGAATAACCAAAATATATTTAAAACTAACTTAACAATCAATAGACCATTAATACAAATTATACTAACCGTAGTCGTTCGGCGAACAGAATTTCTCAGCCTATTCTGAATGTAATCGCTTTTTTTATGATCGCCAATCTTTAAAAAGGAAAAACCTTTAAAAGGTAGCTGCAGTACAATGGAGTAAGTATACAATAGCGACGGCCACATGGCGAAATATGTTTCTTCTTTTTTGGTAACTCGTAAAGATGCAGATTTACTGTTCACAAATATATAATGGCAACACGCGATAACGCACATGACTTTTGTTTTTGTTGTTGGTCACGTTTATACAAACAATTACACCGTGGACACGACTTATATTATTTTAAATTTAATCTTACAAATGAAGGAAATTGTGTTATATTGACTATTATAAATTAGTTGTTGTATGACAAGGCATTGCATATTATATAATGTTTAAGATGAGGCAAAATTATTAGTTCGTAATGTTACCTGTTAACAATAATTTTATAATATAGTCATAAAACATTTTGAGGTACATTTCATTTAATATCATAGACCAGGCTTGATCTGACTTGACTAATGCAATGGCCGATATTACGTATGTTAATCAATGTATACGATCCATTGCTGAAGAATTGTTTAACAAAACCTGTTATTACAATACTTTTTGCACATTAAACCGAAGAACACCTTAAGTTAAAATAGTATTTAGTAAACTCTCGTTACTGTAACATAAAGAATTTTACGCATTTTCCCGTTTTATTAATATAAAGTCTGAATTAGTTGTTAAATTTATAGTGCACGATGGTGTGCAATTCCTCAGTTAAATTAAAAGAGATTAACCGAGTATCGACGTAGATACATTAATAGTACATGTATGGATGATGAATGTGATATTATGCAATTTTTTTAAATAAAATCAATGCTTCAAAAAACTATCCCTTAACATGAGAATCAGGTATTTATCTCTTACTTCTGTTGCCGTCGGCAAGTAAGGTATAAACGTAATATGTTTGCTTAACGTAACATTGGCGGAGTTTTACAAAGCTCAGTTTCGCACGACTGCATTTTGGCAATCTGCACCGTCAGTCTTAACTATTATGAATGTACCATTCAGCATCACACCCAATTACAATTTAACAACCATATATATCTACTCAGTATATACATATATCTGTACCTGTATTGCAAAAAAATACATTAAAAAATTAGATAGCGGAATAAATGCCTAAGATTTAATGCTAATTATATGCTAAAATTTAAAATTACGTTTGTTTAAAAAGGTTTAAGAATGTGGGAATTGCATAACTCATTAATTTTCTGTAACGGGTATTGTTAATGACTCACGAAGGTCGACAAGTATAACCGTATGGTTCTCACGGTTCCTAGAGTGAGGTTTTAAAAAAGTAGAACATAATTAATAAGGCATATTTTACAATAATGTCTAATTCTTATCGGGACGCATACCCGGCAACCCGTTGATGTCTTTTGTACTACACCGTGACGGAAATACGTCGACGTAGCCAGTTTAAGTGAGTTTTTCATTACGTAACGGTTATAACTAATAGCGACTTGTTTTTGAGTTAAAAATAAATTAGAGAATTGAATCAATCCTTTGCAAATATGGGTATAAAATGTTAAACGTAACTTAAGGTACTAAAAAAATTAATTTAAAAATAATATTTGAAGTTTTAAGGTCTAATCTGCATTTTTTAAGAAGATCAAAAGTTAAAATATATATATTAAGATTTCTCCAGTTGATTTGTAATTAAGTTAATGGTAGCCTTTGGCCTCCCCATCGTATTTATAGCGTAGGTTGTACTGCGCAAGCAGGGGTCGTACGACCTTCGGCGAGGAAGTCATCCATGCCCTTTTACCCACAGGTGTATACACACCTGTAATTACTTCATTCGTTCTTACTCTAGTTTTTGGCTTTTATTTTCGCATGCGGGTAACGGTATTACTTGAGTCATTGTTTTGACTTTGAACGGCCATCTTTAATTACATTGGTTGAAAATAGTTGTTAGCCTTTCGTAATTTGTGATGTCAGTTACGGTAATCACTGTTTTAAGTGTGTAAAGATCAGACGGTAACGGTATTGTATCGGTACCAAGATTTATGATTTGGAAAAATGTACATCTAGATCATAAACAAAGCAATTTTGATTCATATGTCAATGCTAATGGCATGAATAATTAAAAAATAAATACGGATTTCTTAGAAAATCCAAAACAATAAATAATTTGCCTTTTTATAGCTGTAAATACTACATTTTTAGTGAAGTGGATATATGTAATTTATGTAAAAAGCCCCATACATGGAAAACTAAATGTAAAGCAATCAAAAGTGATATTAAAGGGAATTGCGGATTGCAAGAAACGATTGAAAAATGATAAAATGTATTGCATACAAATGTAACAGTAGTAAACATTAAGTAAATGAACATAGAGCAGAATTTATGCAAATACGGGACATACACGTCACGCGAGTTAATTATATTGAAATGACAGTCGAGATTGCGGTGACTAACCTAAATACAAAGCGAGCGGCGATAGCTGGCGGGCGGAAGTCGCGCCATTGTCCCGCAACCGTTGACACCTCGGTACCTATCATCCGGTCAATTCCCGTAGCGCTTATTTTACAGATTTGAACATCTATTTCATCTCACGTTATACCTGTTATGTTTACCCAATAGTTAAAGGAGACACGCCCTCAAATTTAAATGTACCCACGTAAAAAGTTGTCTTTATGTAAATTTTCTATTATTACCTTACGTTTATACAGCTATTTAGCAGGTTTAAACTGCTATATCGAATGTATAAAGTATTGCAGTTTCAACAGCAAAAGTTTTGAATGTTACTTTAAATAGCATTTTAAAGATCGTAAGAAATTGAAATAATTAAGTAAATATTTTTGTCTAAACTAGTTGATTAAAAAAACAACCTAATTGTTGGATAGTGTACCAGGTATTGAACTAACAAATCAAGAAATGTTTGGAATATTAAGGTCCTATCTAGCCTGATTTAACAATACTTTGGAAGTAAGCCAAGAGTAGTTGGTAGAATAGAATTCAAGGCACATACAGACGATAAGGTCGGTAATGGCTAAAAAGATAAAATAAACAAAGAAGTTAGAACACCTTTTATGTAAGGTTCACTCAAAATTTAGCACTTATATGAGATGTAAACAATTTGTGGAAAATTGCAAAAACATGACAGTTATATCGGTGATTCACGCTCAGACTACCTGAGACCGTTAATATGGCCAGTGACGGTCTCGCATGACGGCAGTCGATTACATTTTATGTTTATTATACATAGCTGTACCAACAACTAAATTTCTGCAAAAATTTTAGTCAAAACATTGGGAGAATATCAAAAGGATTGTCTGAGAAACCTATTGAGGAACTAGGAGTTGGGATGCGTATTTCTTAAGTAACGTAACACATTTGAAAATAACTGCTTTAATACTCTTCTTGACAAAACCAACGACAGATTAGGATCACGCAAGACAAGTCACACAAATGATCGCAGGTAGACGTTTGTTAGCGAAGCGGAGCCGAGAACTGGATTCTGTTCAAGTGCGTGTATGTTTTTTTTGGACGAGCAAGTGGCCGTTAAGAAGGAAACGATAAATAAAAATACAAGCTTTGGTCAAAATTATAGAGATAGTGCCTTCGTTGAATATGATAACAGAAAATGTTACTTTATGATTAAATCTAACAGCCAATCGCTATAATTTAGTAGTTTAAGAATCTACGAAATGTACCTATATAAAAGTTAAAAGAAACTCACCGACGCATTCTTTGTCCTTTTTAGAGAGGAGTGGAATTGGTCCATCATCAAGAAGAAAGCCGGGGCAGAGGGGGTCGGATTTGCTAGCGAGCAATTCCAACCCAACCTGTAACCCAAGTTGCTGCTCCGCTAGGCGCTTCTTGATTAGGAAGATTTTCGGCATCTTCAGGCACTATTGTATATCACACGATCCTAGTGTTCGTCTATGTCACTTGGTCTTTTAAAAATCACAAGTCAGCATCATATCACACTGCACGTTAAGTTTCCTCGCGTTGTTGATGTTTATTTTGTGCGTAGAAGCTAGCGGCACATGTGGTACCGTTGGCCGCTGCGAAAGGACTGAGACTAGTGTGCGGTGCCCGCGACACCGTTGCCCGAACAGGTCCGCCCCCGCCCGCGCAGGCACCGCCCGCCCGGCCCCGTGCGTCCGCGCACCGAACCGAACACACCGACGCACCGGCATCTCCGCACAACCACCATGCACACATCCACACGAACCAGTAAAAGTGCTAGTTTCTGTATCCTAGCACTTGTTCTGTTCCACATTGTTCTATCAAACAATACGTATATCTTTCCTTATCCTGGCTCTATTCTTTTTACTTGCTGTTGTAGCTTATAAACTGTTTTTGTCTAATCATCTTTTTAAATTATTATTAAATATATTTTTTATCCTTATCACAAATGAAGTTGCTCTCTTTGGTGGTTTCTCTTTCTCTATTTATATTTTTATTGCCTAGAAGTCACTATCTTGTGTGACCAAGAGAAAGAGATTTGTAGGTAATAAAAAATGTAGTGTCAACTTGTTTCATGTGATATGAATGCGTCTGCGTATGAAATTAGTTATCATCTTTTGATTACAAGGACAAACATCTACTGATTTAGAGTTTATTTGAGCAATAATCATTATTTTGCGTAATGTGAGTAATGAGGTGTTTATACAAAAAATCTACCACAAGTCGTCATTATTACTGCTTCTTTGGTCTTCTTCTATTCTTAATACCTTTCACTTTCAAACTAGCTTTAATATCCCACAACTCTTCATTTTACCTTTAATAGCTTTTATTGAGAAAGATTTTTTTATAATAGTACAAATTCTTCTTTAAAGTTAAACTAATGCATGTTATTATTCGTATATTAATCTCGTAATGTTAAAAGCTAATTCCAAAACTTTATGTACAATTCACCTAATTGAGCAGCCGCTAACTATATTCGTGGAATATAGGGCCTATAGGGTAACAAATATAACGCAGGCAGATTTTTGAATAAGAACACGCGACAGTTGAACTTTAATGTAGAATTTGTAAGATTCTATCAAAATCTTCCTCAAAAAAGCTATTTAAAGTAAAATAAATAGTTGTAGGATGTTAAAGGTAGTTTGAAAGTAAAAAGTATTAGGAATACCAAAGAAGCAATAAAGATGGCATTATCAAGAGGAAAGTAGTGCATAGACTACTTGTGACAGTTTTTTTTTGTAAAAACATCACATTACTCACATTACGCAAAAGAATAATTATCGTTCAAACAAACTCAGTTTAATAGATATTTTTCCTCTTAACTTAAAGTCGAAATTTGATATTTATTTTGAAAATCAATAGATTTGTTTACTCCCTATTAAATTAAAAAAAATAGTCTTAAAATTACCAGTAAACATACATTATTAAAATTTAAATAAATAGCATGCATCATTATCTAAATCTGTAATATTTACATCATAGTATTCTGGTAATTGTATCTGTTCGTGCTCAGTGACTCGTTTACATATTTCGACAGTAATGTTTTCTCAGGTAAGGACCTCACAACGACGGTTGTCGGCAACCTTTCAATTAACTGGGGGATTTGCAAAACAATAGATCCCGAAGGCTGCGAGCAATCAGTGTAAGGGACTGGGGATTTGAAGAATAGTTATGAAACGACGTCAATAAACTTTACAGCTTTAATTGTTTGCACGGACTTCAGAAAACATATTTTTGTTGCGTCTATCATATTGGAAGTGTCGGCGTCTTTGGCATTCATATCACATATTCATGACGCCATCTTTTAGACGAATATTTTATTACTTTTCCTTTAACAGTTATAGTAGTACACTATATTGTGTATAGCCAGTAGGATGCCGCATCCAGATTACTCATGCCATTTTTAGTTTTCTGAACACCTTACTATAATATACACTTCCTTCTGTTTCATTTATATTTCCGGCTCGTTCCATTGCACCGGATACACTGGCTTATTTTAAAGATTTGTATTTAACATGTTTGGCTTTTTATAAAATGTTTGCAACAAATAATTTGATACAATAGCGACTTCAAACAAGTAAATCTCTTGACGCCGGCTCAGTATAGGAATCTTCGATTCCTCCATCCAAAGACAAGATTAGTTTGCCCGATAACTTTACAGACAATCCCAAGAAAACGGTTTTTTTTGTTGACCATAACTTAAGTAAGTACATATAAAAAAATAAGGTTGATTATTCATTTAAGGGCTTAGAAGAATAGCAGGATTAAAAGAAATCCTCGAATGTACTTTACCTTGAGACAGGTAAGAATATATATTTTTCTAAGAAATAGCCACATTCTTTTTATTTTTTTAACGAGAGTGCTTGTTACCGTAATGGTAACGAATATCTATTATCTCTCATAGCTTTTAACAATATTTATAAACCCCTCTCCCAGCACGTGATTCTGTAAACACTGTTATTCTTTCAATTACTATTATGAATCAGAAACTTAAAAATAAACTTTATGTAAGGTATTCATTAATAGACTGTTAATTATTAGACTGCCATGTTTTGATATTAACTTATAGTAGTATTCAACGGATGGTGTAGATATTTAAAAAAAACCCTAATACTAGGTAAGTTGTACGATATAAATTGTGTAAGGTTTACTATGCATTCAGTATTCAAGCGGTTTAAATTACTTTCATCAAACATTAGAGTATTTAAAATTATAAAATCAACTCTATTTAAAAGATGAAACTGAATTCGACTTCACGATCGTAAATCATCTTAAAAACCAAATTCAATAAAAACATAAATTGCCAAGCCTTTTCCTAATACAAATAAAATAAAACGGTGTTACGCTACCGAATTGGTCCCGGGTGTTTTTTAATAAAAAATAGTAGCGATTTTGCGTCGGCAGTGTGTATTTTTTCCTCGATCCTCACTTTGTAATTATTCTTAGTGGTATATATATATATTTTAAATCCATACTTAATATACGAATACAAGATTGGTTAAATGCCATGTATAAATAAGTACATGAATGGAAACATTTTATTATAAATTGAGATGAAATCCTTTGGTTTTAACATTCTAGAGTTGATTAATTAAATTGGGTTGTTTAGGTTTCATCATGTTTAGTATTATTTACTACGTAATCTACCACTTTGTACACCTACAACCTACCTACTTCCAATTGTGTAATGACGTTGCTGAGTGAACCGCATTGCATGTATTTAAAAATCGTGAGCACCATCATCGTGTAAGTTCCCCATCTATAGAGATCAAGTCACCGATGTACTACATTTAAAAAATACAGATAAGCACAGTCATTTATACAATGTGTCTGGGTTCGGACTGTACAAACTTTAGGGGGTGATAGTTTCCCCGGGACCCGATGGCATTCCTGGCCGAGCGTGGGTCCTGGCCTTAGTCGACGAGGCTCTCGAGCCCCGACTGCGAGGGTTCTTGTGTGTCAGTATTCTTACAACCCATACCCTCACCGTTAGTTATTATTTATAACGGTTGTTTGTAGAGTGTGTAAAAAACATTTTTTTTTGCTAAAATGTAATCTGAGCATCTGTACAGCTCGTTGTCTTTATAATCCCTTGTAATTATATTCCATTCAAGTGGCCACACCCTATTTAAGAAGTCTGAGTGTTATCGTAAGTTCTTTGATTTCAATTACTGTTTTAGAATGTGATCTTTTCTACAATATCACTTTTTTTTAACTGTCACTCATTGGTGGAGAGTCATGCTTTATTACAAATGGGCCGGCTCGATTGAAATGTTTCCACAGCCTTATAACGAACCGGCGCGGCGGCGTTTAGCAATATTTTCTTTTTTTTTTTCACCGAACGAGTGTGATGGAGATCCATTTCCCATCCCCTCCTCTCTAATACTGGACACAGTGTCCCGGACATTTTTGAGTAACCCTCTGTGAAGCGCACGTATGTAATTTGAGTTGCACGTTTCCAGGGGCGGCGGTAGTCACTTAGCATCAGGTGACTAGTCTGCTCGTTTGCCCCCTCCCTAAAAAAAAAAACTACTCCAACTTTAAGCTCAATTTTGTCATTGAACTTTTGATATAGGAAAGACGATGCAGCCTGATGTAATTTAAAACAAAAACGACTTGAGGGATCTATGGACCCCCAGCACCAAAAGAGAAAGAAGTGTGGGAAAAAAGTCTTGTTACACATTTTTCGGTCTCTCCCATCAGCTCAGAGCGTGTAAGGCGCGATAAGAAACTTCATTCCAACTAGTATAACAAAAAATATTTTATGTGATAAGTCGGTTATTTTTTTTTCATATATATTTTTTATTTGTAAATCTTTGTAGTTACGGCGTGCATGTGCGTTGATTGCGCAATGATTAGTTACACGAGCACGCTTGTTCCACGTCGGTGACTCGCCTCAAGTTCTTGGCTACGATAACCTCTTTCAAGTCTAAAAAAGCACCGCTGGACAACAGCCAGTGTAGGCTGAATATTTATGTAACAATGTAGGTATGTCCTATTTCAAAATATATCAGTGACTCTTTTTGTTCACCGAGATACCACTTGACATGTAAAAACTACAACTGTTTCACCGTAAAACTTTTTCTGCAACTGTTTAAGTATTTCAAGTTCAGAGGTAGGAGTCACGTATCTATTTAATATACGTACATTTTTATCATCATCATCAACAGCCTATAACAGTCAACTGCTGGACATAGGCCTCTCCTTAGAAAGGAGGTTTTGGCCTACTATACCACGCTGGCCAGACGGGTTGGTATAGGGTTTGTTTCAAGTTATCCTTCTCTTTGCAGTGCTGTTGTCCTGCGTAGTTTGCTCCCATAGTCGGCTCTTACGACACCCACGGGATGAATAGGGGTGGTGACATTCCGTATTCTTAATACCACACAAAACTTAGAAATAAGTTGTCTTATTTATTTATCACTAGTTTATACCCAAAGGTCGAATAATTGGACCACAATTTTGCAAAGTTAACAGTAAAAACGTTCCACAGTTTTCTAACCTAATTTAAAAAAAGGAGGTTGTCAATTCGACTGTTTTCTTATATTTGTTACTTTAGGACTCCATCACATAAAAAACGATTTATATACTTCGTTTTTGTTTGTAAAGGTTTAGTCCCATTCAAATTTGAAGAAAATATTAAACCAAAGGGATATAAATTAAAGAATAAAATATACAGATTATTGCAATTTATCATCACGTAGGCACGTTTTAGTCGGTGGTATTGTTTTCATTAGATCAATATTTTCGTAACTCTTGTGTAACTAATGTCAGGGTTGCATTTCTTTGCCTTATGATGCTCCTTGGAAGTGCAAAACCGCAAGTTACGGATATTTGTTTTATAAAAGTTGCTGAACTTGGTTTAAAAAGGTTTTGCCTTCATTTTAGTTAAGTAATATCTATCAGACGATATCTAACTATCTATATATAGAACCATACATTTTATATTTAAGCAGTAATTAACAACAGTACTTATATTGTGGTAAAATTATGCAGAAGAATCGAGATCTCTAGTACAGAATTAGGTACTATTTGTTTGCATGTGTTGTCACTATTGTTAATGATTATTATTAATAATTATTAAATATTAACTCAATTTACAATTTTGAGTTGTTTTCTCATAAAGTGTTGCAAATGGAGAATAAATATATTTAGCCTCTGTAAGTGTTATAAATACAGGTATTTGAAACTTTACAAGTAATTACCACCTTGTTGTGGTCGTCGTTCAGTGATTTCCATCAAGTGTGTCATGTATATAGATCGTTGTACAACGGTATCGCCACCATGCATTCTCGATGATTGCACTCGAGCACGCACGTCGTAACATCACAGGGAATAAATTGCAATAGTATTAATGTTTAGAACCGGTCCACTGATTACAGCTCAACTCGCTGAATACTCGTATTATTCAATTGGTCGCACGAGCTAACCGTTTTGTTATGAAGTGTTACGTTCAAATTCTCGTACTGATTAGTTTTATTATTTATAGCTTAAAATGATTTATATGAAGTTGGCGAAACGCAGACAGATAGATTAGATTACAGATGTCAATTACTGTGGCATCTAACACTGCCGTAGATGATTTATAGATAATGAAAAGAAAAACTACATTTTACTATTGACTATCATTGTGATCTACATATCTATTTAGATAGAATTATTAGTAGGGAGCCTCCTAGTTACTGCCACCGCGTTTTAAGAAACTTGTAAAAGCCGAAGCGAAACCAGCAAAAATAAACGAGGCAGGAGTAACATTATTGTAAACACATACCAAACGTCTGAGATTTTGCACCAATTACCAAAAAATAACAGCCTTAACGAAACCCGGTAAAGGATTTGATTTGGGAATTGCCTAATTCCTAGCAAAATAAGACTTAAAATGAGCAAACATTTCTAAACAGACGGACTGACCACATGAGAAGCTGTCTATGACATAAATTTAACAGACGTGAATAATTAATCTAAGGATGCACCATTCCATTGACTGGATAACCCTCGACTAAAAAATAGACAGGCGAGTACCATGGTGTTTTAGCTGTTTCGAGTGTGGCATAATCATAATCACAACTTGACGAGGGTTCAATGCGACGACAAAGTTGACTGAAAAGCACGTGTGCTTATAAATGAGAAGTGTTCATAAATAAGGAACTACATACGCTTAAGCGTGGTCATAAAATGGCCTGTCAACGGATTTCTATAGGTTTCACTTTGTTGTGTTTCCTAAAGCTCCCTTTGAACTGAACTAAACTGAACCCCAAAAAGTTGTCTTCGTTGTCCATATGATTACTTTTCGTCAAGTGAGTTTCAAGACAAAGATCTACTCTCAATAAAAGATCAAATCAAGATTTTACCCTACAAATGGTCATGGTCAGTTAGAACTACTGACGTAGTTTTTCTTACACTTAGTAGTAGTTCGAGCGTAGGCAGAGGCAACGTAACCCATTATTACCTTGTTAGCCAACATAATAGATAAATAAAAAGAGTAAATGTACGCTAGATTCTACCGTTCTCGAACATAGCTTTAGATTATGTATCTTGTTTATATTTCATGATCAGAAAATATATCATTGTGATTTCTAGGATTGTCTCACATATTAGCTAATTTCTAACTCTTGGAGATAACTAAACATTTTGTTGTTTATTATAAATAATAGATATTTTAAAATCTTATTATTTTGTATGCAAATATCTGAATCGTTGCCAAATTGTACTTTTGACTATTGATATTGGATTGGGTAAATCATCTTGCGCCAATGTAGATTGTTGCAATCAATTCAGGTGTCCCTCGTGAACAGTACTTTCTGCTATAGAGTACTATTTTATTAATAATAGTGACAGAAAAGGTTCTGTACCCCTGACAACTTGTATATAAAATTTCAGATGATCGTTTCAAAATCAATGGCTTGAAAGCCATACCATCAAACAAAACAAAAAAGAAAAAAACAAACTTTATTACACGATACTAATATCACTTAAGATATCATTATATCATAAAGTATTGGCACCCAGGTTAAAGAAGAAGAGGGAAAGCGAAATACTAAATAAGCAGAAAGATGGTTCAGGTGTTGTGTTAAACAAGGTTTTCTGTATTATATATTTGTCGTCGTATATTATATTGTAGGTATAATCTGCTGGGACGATTGTTGCAACATAAAACTGTCAATCGTGTTTAGTAATCGGAATGAATTTTCAGTTTATAAACCTTGTTGTATGACTAATTCAAACTGTTTAGGTTGCATAGAACCCATATTTGTATGACATTATCTCCGATTTACGTAAATGCGGAAGTAGGATATATCGGTAATGCATGTTCGTGTCCTGTAACCTAAAATACGGATTTTGCAATAACGGCACTTTCTTCATAAATAGTTTAACGTGTTTTATAGGTATTGACAGCCTCTGTAATGTTTTGTTATAGAAAAATTAGAAGTTGTTATGTTTAGGCTAACTTCTTAGATGAGTTAGCTATTGTAAATGTCAGTTATGCAAAATGCTATTCAGGTTGTAATACCTGTAACGAAATGAAAATTATATTGTTGTTCCATAAAAAAGAGTATTGTCATTTTTTTAATTCGTATATTGCTTCAATATATCTACCATAAGTTCAATTAAAAATTCAATTGTGAGAAGTTTTCGTTACGTGAATTATACGTCAGAAAATTCTCAAGCCTCGTTCACGTGCAACTAACTACATACCTACCTACGTATACCGGTTGTCAAAAGGCTGCGGCATGCGCGGGTGGCTGCGGGGGTAAGAGCGGGGCGCTCGGGGCGGGTACCGGGTACAGCGACCGCAATAGCGCTGGTTGCCGCAGCGCAGCCACCATTGCCAAGATCACGGACCGCGCATGCGCAGCGAATGTCAGCCACGTCACGATCGAGCTTCGTGCTATCGCGATTGGAACGTTTGGATATAGAACTTAAAATGCAATCACGATTCGATCGAAATTGTTATCGAAATTTCTTTTTGTCTGTACATAAAAAAAAATTGGATGTCGTTTCCTCTTCTAGAATAGTTAATCAAAGTTATGCAGGTGCTCATGAGCATTTTAAATGCATCCGATACTAAAGCGTAACATTCAAATACGTAATAGGTATTAAACTATTCATGAACTTATTTTCAAAAACAGTTTCCTAACAAGAGCCTTCTAGAAAAGCATTTGCAAATAGCTTACGAAATAATGACTCAGTATTTAGTAGGGTCTGTCAATTTTACTCAACACCATGAAATGTGATGTAAACTTAATTCATGACTTGAGCTCCAATCAGAAGTCGTTCCCGTTCCCCAAACGTGTAGCTGTTATGCAATCGACTCACATAGGCGTGCATTTTTTGCTCAACATCCCCACGGTAAATACTGCCAAGTGTCCGAAGACTCTTGACGAGGTTTGGTTTGCGTCGTCGTCTTGTATAATAGCCCTTGCCCTATCTTTATATGGGCCGAGCCGTAGTCTCCCGCAATTCTCATTCAGTTCACGTAAGGTAGCGGCCCTAAGGACCGGGTTTTTGTAACAGCGCAACAGGTAGAAATGAAAGGATTGCGAGTTCAGAGCGAGACGACATGACATCATCTTCATATCTGTCTCGCTCGGCGCGCCTGCGCAGGAATGCCGGACGATTTGTGCTTGCGCATAATACAGACGGTTCTTGCGACTAGTGTGGGTACTTATGTATATCCGCAGCTTAACCACAACACACACTGCCCTAATGCGTACGGGTCATGTAGCGGGATTTACTGAGTTTAGTCAGTGAAATTTATATTGAAAGGGAGTCTGATGATTTTTGGTATATTATTGGCTTTCCTTACATTTTAAGTTCTATTTTATGAGGCCGTTAATGAAAAAGTGTTTTTATTTTAAATTTTATGAATAGAATGCTATTACATTACTTTAGTATATCAAATTTAAATGACATCTTTAAATGTGCTGCCAAGTCATATTCTATTTAGACGTTAAATAAATAAAGAGACATTACGTTGACAAGTATAAATAAACATGAGACTTGTCGACTAAGCAAACATTGTCGGAAAATTCATTTACAAGTTACTATTGAAAATCTACTCAATCAATTTACTTTATGACCGAAGTGGCAAAAGTCATTTGGATGTCAAATCTTTAAGTTAAAAATATAATTATATTTTTGGAATATAATATGGAATAATATGGAATTTACATAATCGAGTGAACTCTTGCTTTAAACAAAAAACTTAGCTTAATAATTGCAGGCGAAGCTCTTAACTCAAACCCTATAGGTACTCGTACCTACCAACCCGTCTGGCCAGTGTGGTAACCTCCTTTCTAAGGACAAGCATATGCCCAACTAAAGGTTGTTGATGATGATGATGAGCTAAGCAGTAGAAAACAATTGTTGATTGCAAAATGCGTGGGGTCTTTGGCATTAAACCGTACTGTGATTAACTTGATAATTCAAACACTTGTAAATAAAGAATTGATGATATTACAAAACATAAAATAAGAAAATAAATTAGAGTTTTAAAAAACAAATAATAGAAAATCAAAAAACTTTTTTGATTATATTTACTGTGTACAGCCTTAGAGTGTTTGACATAAAATGTTACAAATTACCTATTTATAAAAGTAAAGTGGTGTTTTTTTACAAACAAAATTTATTTTCCACTTTTTGGTTTGCGAATCAAACTTGTTTTTTTAATGTATAATATTTTCTTTCGTTTAAATCGGTCTTATACATGTGTGCGAATTCGGAATTTATTCTAACGTTTTGTTGTTGAAAGATTCCGTTACATAGGTAAGTCAAGAGAATGTAAATCATGTAAAATTATTTTAGCATATTATTAAAAACTTATATTGTCAAAGTATGTTAATTTTTTATATTATTAACATGACCCAAAATATTTAAGGCGATAATAAACCCGTGACTTATATATAATAAGGTAAAATGTACTGCTCTCTTTGACTATGGAGGTAAGAATATACTACACCTAAAACAGTGATGTTTCCAATGTTAGGTAACAGATTAATTGAAACAATTTCTTTTTTCAACTTCAATGCTTGTTAAAGTGTGGGTGTCATACATATTTGAGTATCTGCCAGTAGAAACATTGCTGTCAAACAACTGTTATGATTTTGTTATCTTATTGTATTGAGTCATAATTCAAGCAAATCTGTACAGCATCTCGAAGATAATCAGCACTTTCTTCGGAACATTTTTAGGAACCATCGGGTTAGTGGTGTTTTAAGTTTACATTCGTTAGGTATATGAATGATACGAAAACCCCTTACAATAATTGATGTATGTGATAAAATATACACTTAATATGTCAATGTTGTTGTAGTATCATATTTCTGAGAGTATTTGAATATCAATTGAAAAAAAGCATAAACTCTAAATAGATATTCATGACTTTACTTTTAAGTAAAGAGGGGATAGGATGAGTTTCTAGCATAGAATTATATTTCTATTTAAACCAACTTTTAAACAAACAACCAAATGATAGTAAATAATAATTTAATTATAATGGCTTATATATAAAGGGCTCAAGAGCCCTGGTTTCAATTTAAAAAATAATAAAAATCTAAAGGAAAGACCATTAATTTCATAAAATTAATTAGGTAGTTACTAGTAACACTGCATATTCTTATTACCCTTTCTATCGTCACCTAAGTTAGGTAAAATACAATACTAGGAGTGTTCGTTAGTGTTATGAGTACGGATGGCGTAGTGGTTTAAGCGGTCATCTTTTGCGCTGAGCGTTGTAGGTGCGATCTCCACATAGGATAACACTCTGTATGATCGACAAATCGTTGCTCTGAGTCTGGGTGTTCATTGTGTCCGTTTCATGTATGTTTGTAAAGTCCATCGCGTCGCAAGATTTATTCCGAGTGCGGGCAGTGTAGTTGGCTTAAAAAAAATAGATACACAATAGCAGATTCCATATTATTATTCCATATTTTATAGTGGGATTTATTAAGCTTCGTAAATCTGACTCTAAACTTATTGAATATAATAATACTTTAGGCTACAGCAAAATTTGCCAATGTTCCTAAATAATATCAAAATCAACTAACACATATAGTAATGTAAGGAAGTTCAGTTACTAGGCAACAAATTGAAATATAAACAAGCTAAAAAGTAAACTGTCAAGTGCAGCTATAAATACTTTTTCACTCTCTATACTTTCCCGTTTAACATAAAGCCATGTCTAAATATTATTAATTAGATAGAACCTAATTCGTCGGGTACCGTCGGCCGTTCTTGGGTAAATATGTTACCGCTGTGTTGCTGGTCATATAAAAAGTTTCCTCCGAGATCCGGTCACACTGGTCCGTAAGATCGACGACCTCTGCTCGCCGTTTGACTTATGGAAATTACTTTTCTTGCCTCACCTGACTGATAGACTGTGATGTCCCGATCAATATTTCATATCATTAATATTTGTGGGAAATAATCTGTTGGACCGAGAAAAAATCTTTATCCAATATACATTGAAATCATTTAAGCGTGCGTGCAACAGTAAAACTTGACTTTTATTTCAATCTGTGTTTTTTTTTACTGGTACAACATTATAATTTTAGTTTATTTCCTTTGGTGCATCTTCTCTATATTTTTGAGCCTCTCTCATTTAGTTGAATTCTATGAGTGTGTTTTGATTTTAATATCGAAAATGTTTTAAAACACTTTAATATTACATATATGTTTACTTTACTTGCGTACCTGGGCTCCCTGCGTCTGTGCACATCTTACATCAGTGACTATAACATTACGATGTGCTTACGTTACCGGTTACGAGAAGACCCACTTATCTAATATTCCTCACCATACTCGGGTTTTCATCATTATATGATTTTTACAATAACACAAAATAACGCGTTCCTTATTAAAGTAGTAAAGATATTCATCATTTACATATAAAGTAATTAATTAAACTTTTTTAATGTTATCCTTAATTTAAGCTCGTTTTAGGAAACTAACATAAAATAGGTATGTGTTAAATATTACTATCATGTTATTATGTAGTATCATTTCTAAATAGTAGACGTGAATCGAGTGTAATTATATTGATGAAGCGTACGACAAAAATACCTCACATGAGATATAGACCTCAAATAGATACGTCATTAATAAACAGCACCTCACCTATTACAGAGCAAGTGATGTTGCAATTCATGATCCGAGGCTGCTTTAGCGGTCGCGCTTGGCGGTGCAGCACGATCTGGCGTTCCGCTTTGCGCCGTCGGCGCATGTCCCCTCCTCACCTCTCTTTCTTACTGCCCCCTCGTGTCCGCGGCCCTGACCAAGACACAGACCCCACGGAGGCAAAATGTTACGAAATTGAACATCGGCTAAAACGAGTTTTGTGTCTGTAGTGCAGGGCTTGTGTGATGTCGTAAGTGTTCAATGGATTGAGAACGGTAGCCTAGTTCGCTATATTGACGACTTAATACACCAGGTGCCTTATGTTTCCATTTTTAGTTTCATTAACTGAAATTACCAATAACATACAAGGAAGGATTGACCATGTTTTTATTTTTCGAACAAATGCAAAATTTAGATAAAAATTTCAAGAGCATTTTTATACAGTTGTTCAATATGAGCTATGAGTAATGCTTTACTAATTGTAGCGATAGTTTTATTATCGTATGTTTCACCCCATAATCTTCCCGTTCATCGTAATTACGGGTGTGCAATTTATCTTCTATACTCATTACGTGGATATAACAGCAGTAACTTGGATGAGCTTGGCCTATGTTTATTATTTATGCTTTTATACTTACTCGTACATTTACTATGTATGTACATTACGAGGTAGAAATTACGAACCAACAATAATCCGTTACAATAAAATATGGCTATCATTACTTAACATACTACTGTTGAAAATTACAAATAGATATAAATTCTTAATCATACTAAAATACGAGTAACTGAATACAAAAAAAATCGGGTGTAATTTTTATCGAACTTTACGTTGCCTAGGATTCAAATAAAATAATGATTTTGAATTGACAATATTTTGAATAAAGTCCTGCCAATAAAGCCTGTGACCAACGACTGCCAATTCAAAGGTATCTACTTCACTTCTACTTTAAGGTTCACATACTTAGAACAAATTGCGAGCGCGGTTGCGGCGCCCCTTAATTATAATAGAATGCGATAATCATGTATCATCACTTTAAAAGTCAGTATAACATTATATTTTTGTAAGAAATATAGTAAATTGGTTTTAGATTATTTTTAAAATGATTGTCCAACCACCAAACTAAGCTAAATATTAACATGTCATACTTTCAAGTCCATTGCCTTAAAAAACCCATTACACTAAACCACTTTGAATTTGATATATGTTCATAATTATTTAATAATTGTAATGGTCATGAGCAAGATTTCTTTTTAATACATCAAGTGGTATGTCAGACAACATACCGTCTGAGGTTTTTATTGCAGAACATTATTAAAACAATTAGAAATATCAACCACCTAATTTGTCAAGAAGTAATTATTTCGCATCACATGTCACAACTTAATGGCTTTTAAAGTATATAACCCACCTGCTGTTTCGTATTTTCTTTTCTTTTCATTGCATAAAGACAAA